TCTGTAAATAGGTCGCATGCTACCTACCCCTCTAGTAAACATCAATGAAGATATGAAGTCAAATTGCATGCTGCACCTGACAGTCTTTGTATATTTCAATAGAGAAATTATTAATGAACAAGATACAAATACCTGACTTATAAAAAAAAAAGATATGGTTTTCAATCTATGGTTTATTATATATATATATTTTATATATTTAATGATTATGAAATTCAAGTATTGTGGTATGTGTATTTATGTCTAATGTAATGTGTAAACAAGAACAAAAGAAAAGGGTGGAAAATAGTTGTAGTTGGAGTATTTTCTGATTCTATCTTAAGACTAAAAGACTGATTACAATAGGTGCAGAGAAGACAGTGTTCCATGAGAGATATAGAAGTTGTCCTTACTGTGCACTCAAAAAGAGTAACTTGGATGCTGTAAAAAGAAAAAGGATTAATGAATAAATAAACCCATTTAATTATCGTAGATAGGACATTTTGAGTCAATGACTCCTTATTCTTAGAAGTTATATAAGTCTGGCTCTGAAGGGCATCTTGGTTGCTTCAAAGTTTTGGCAATGATGGTTAAAGCTCCTATTAAAATCCATGTGCAGCCCAGCCAGTGTGGCTCAGTGGATTGAGCATCGTCCCATGGACTGGGATGTCCCAGTTCAATTCCCAGTCAGGGCACATGCCTGGGTTGCAGGCTTGATCCCCAGTGAGGGATGTGCAGGCAATTTATGTTTCTCTCTCGCACTGATGTTTCTATCACTCTCTCCCTTCCTCTCTCTCTAAAAAACATATTTTTAAAAACAAAATATATTTTAAAAAACAAAAATAAAATAAAATCTGTGTGCAGATTTTTGTGTGGACATAAGTTTTCAGCTCCTTTGGGTAAATACCAAGGAGTGTGATTGCTGGATTGTATGGTAAAAGTACTTTTAGTTTTTTAAGAAACCACCAAACAGTTTTCCAAAGTAACTATAATATTTTGCATTCTTACCACCAATGTATGAGAGTTACTGTTGTTTCACATCTTTGCCAGCATTTGGTGGTGTCAATGTTCCATGTTTTGGCCATTCTAATAGGTGTGTAGTGGTATCTAATTGCATTTCCCTGATGATAGCTTATGTGGAGTATACTTTCATATGCTTATTTGGCATTTGTATATCTTCTTTGATGAGGTGTTTTTTAAGACATTTAACTCATTTTTAATGAGCTTGTTTGTTTTTTATATTGTTTAGTTTTAACAGTTTTTGTCTATTTTGAATAACAGTCCTTTATTAGATGTGTCTTTTGCAAATATTCTCTCTCAGTCTGTGGCTTATGTTCTCATTCTCTTAACACTGTCTTTCAGTTTTCCATTTTAATAAAGTTCAGCTTATCAATTAGTTCGTGCATGGATTGTACCTTTGGTGTTCTGTTTAGAGTCATCACTATATCCAAGTCATCTAGGTTTTCACTAAAGTTATCCACAAAATACCTTCTAGGAGTTTTATAGTTTTATTTGTTACATTTTAGATCTATGATTTATTTTAAGTTTTGTGAAGAGTGTGAGATCTGTGTCTAGTTTCTTACCGTTATTTATTTATTTTTCATGAATGTCACATTGTTCCAGCACCATTTGCTCCATTGTGTTTCCTTTTCTTTTTTGTCAAAGACCAGTTGTCTATATTTGTGGAGGTTCTTTCCTTGGTTCTCTCAGCTGTTTCATCGAGTGATTTGTCTATTCTTTCACCAATTACTGGAGATTTATAGTAAGTCTTAAAGTCAGGTAGTGTCAGTTGACTAACTTTGTTTTTCTTCTTTAATATTGTGTTGGCTTTTTTGGGTCCTTTGCTTCTCCTTGTGGAGTTTAGAAACAGTTTGTATATATCAACAAAACAGCTGGCTGGGATTTTGATTGAAGTTGCATTGAATTTATAGATCAAATTGGAAGGAACTGACATATTGACAATACTGGGTCTTCCTATGTATGAACATAGAATATCTCGCCAATTATTTAGTTCTTTGATTTTGTTCATCAGAGTGTTTGTTTTCCTCATATAGATCCCTCATATATTTTGTTATATCTAATTATTTCATGTTTTGGGTGCTAATGGTATTGTGTTTTCTATTTCAAATATGACTTGTTCATTGCTGGTATATAAGAAGTAATTGATTTTTGTATATTACCCTTGTATCCTACAACCTTGATATAAATGTTTATTAGTTCCAGGGTATTTTTTGGATTATTTCACATTTTCTACATAGACAATTATGTCATCTACAAACAAAGACATGTTTATTTATTTTTCCTAATCTGTATAGCTTTTGCTTTCTTTCCCTGCCTTCTTGCATTAACCAGGATTTCTAGTTTATGCTGAAAAGGAGTGGTGAGAGGGAACATACTTGCTTTGCACCTGATCTTAGTGAGAAAATTTTGAGTTTCTCATATTACATGTGATATTAGCTATAGGATTTTTATAGAATTTTTAAATCAAGTTGAGAAAATTACCCTCTATTTCTAGTTTACTAAGTGTTTGATTTGATGAATACTTTTCTGTATCTATTGATAAGATAATGTGATTTTCATCCAGTCTGTTAATGTGTTGAATTATATTGATTAATTTACAAATGTTGAACCAGCATTTATGCCCAAGGTAAATATCACTTGGTCATGGTGTATAATTCTTTTCATATGTTTTTTCAATTTAATTTGCTAATATTTTGTTGAGGATTTTTGAATCTATGTTCATGAGATATATTTGTCTGTAGTTTTCTTGTAATGTTTGTGTCTGGTTTTGGTGTTAGGGTAATGCTGGCCTCAAAAAATGTCATTGATTTCTACTCTAATTCTCATTATTTATTTTTAATTTTTTGCTTACTTGAATTTAATTTATGTTATTTTTATAGATTTCTTAAGTGGAAATAGATCATTGATATTAGATCTTTCTTTATTCTAATATGTGCATTCAATTGTTCTCTAAGCACTATTTGTGCTGAAACCTACAAATTTTGATAAGTTGTGTTATTTTCATTTAGTTCAATATATTTTATTTTAAAATTTCTCTTGAGATTTCTCTTTTGGCACATGTGTTATTAATTTTATTTTTTTAAATATGTTTTCATTGATTTTCTAGAGAGAGAAGAAGGAAGAGAGAGAGAGAAACATTGATATGAGAAACATTGATTGGCTGCCTCCTGCACACCCTTTACCGGGGATTGAGCCCAAAACCCAGGCATGCACCTTGACCAGGAATCAAACCAGGACCTCTCAGTCCATAGGACGATGCTCAACACACTGAGCCACACCAGGCGGACAGTACATGTGTTATTTAAAAGTGTGTTGTTTGCCCTGGCCAGTTTGAGCATCAGCCTACGGTCCAGAGAGTCCCAGCTTTGGTTCCCACTAAAGGCACGTATCTCAGTTGCAATTTGTCCACGGCCCCGGGTGAGGTCGTGTGGGTGGCAACCACTTGATGTGTCTCTCTCACATCAATGTTTCCCTCTCTCTCTTCCTGTTTCTCCCTCCCACTCTATCTGAACAAAAAATGGAAAAATGTCCTTGGATAAGGATAAAAAAAAAAAAAAAAATGAAAGTGTGTTGTTTAATTTCCACCAATTTAGGGACTTTTCTAGTCATTTTTTTTTTTTTTTTTATCCTCACCCGAGGATATTTTTCCATTTTTTGTACAGATAGAGTGGAAAGGAGAGAGAGAGAGAAACATCAACGTGAAGGGACACATCGAGTGTCTGCCACCCGCACGACCAACCAGGGCCGGGGACAAACTGCAACCGAAGTACATGCCCTTAGCGGGAACTGAACCCAGGTCTCTCCGGACCACAGACCGACGCTCTAACCGCTGAGCCAAACTGGCCAGGGCTCTAGTCATTTTTTAAAATTGATTTCTAATTTAATTTTCTTGTGATCTAAGAGCAGACACTGTATGATTTTTATTCTTTTAAATGTGTAAAGTTCTATTTTATGGCCCAGAATCTTGGTGAATGTTGCATCTTCCTTGAGAAGAATGTATATTCTGATCTTGTTAGATGTAGGCTGTAAATATAAATTATATTTAATTGATTAATGGTGTCCTTGAGTTCAACTATATCCTTCTAGGCTTTTTCTGCCTGCTGGAAATATCCATTTATGATAGAGGGGTGTTGAAGTCTCCAACTATGATGATGAATTTATCTATTTCTCCTTGAAATCTGTCAGTTTTGCCTTACATAGTTTGATCCTCTATTGTTAGACACACACACATTAAGGATTATTGTGTCTTCTGGGAGAAATGACTCCTTTATCATTATTAATGTACCTTCCTTATCCCTGATAACTTCTTGCTTGGAAGTCTGCTTTATCAGAAATTAATATAGTTGCTCTTGTTTTCTTTTACTAATTATATTCTTAGTATTGTGGGTGCTATTATTACTACTAGTAATACAACTCTGAGAGATCAGGACCCATTTGGACCCTTATTATTATGTTCTCATTTATATGACGCTTTTGTAAAAGTGAATGTTGACCCCAGGAGAATCTGGGATTTTTTCTTCAGTTCAATCTGTATGCATCATTTAGCAATTACATTTAAATAGCAGTACTCAATTCAGTATTATCTTTCAAATATGTCTCCTCTATTTAGTGGTCTTTTTCAGAAGGATTATATCTATTTTTAATTTTTCCTATGGTACCTCATTATTCATATGAGTTTGGTTGATTCAAATTAGAATTAATAGTTTCATTTCTTCTATTCTGATTATTGCCATTCTTCTTTTTCTTCACTAGAGCTGTGGCCATTGGACGCAGGAGGCATAAGCCTTGAGGTCTTTCTGAAATGCACAAAACCATTCTTGCTTTCTTCAGTTTTGAGATAGCTTTCAGCATGTGTTTTCACTCCATTTGGTTGAATATACCACATTTATAATGCGTATTTCAGTGTCACATTTCTCCCACACATACTGGGAGAAGTAACAGAGCCTCCTACAAAATCATCCTGATCTGTGCCTGCTTTCTCTCCCCTCTTGTGTCTCTAGGTAAGTGTGAAATTGGCTGGGCCTTCTACTGCACAGGAGCAGGTGCTGCCACCGCCATGCTTCTGTGCACATGGCTGGCTTGCTTCTCTGGCAAGAAACAGAAGCAGTACCCATACTGACATGGAGCCACCAAGAATAAAGAGAGGAGAAGATGGGCTGAAGGGGCTTGGAGGTACTGAAACATCCAGCTACTTTCAAAAGGTGGAAAATGGTTCTAATTTATGCAATACTAATAAAATGAAATCCAATGGAATCAGAAACATTATATAATGTGGAAGAGTTGTGCCAGATTTACAAAGGAAATGAGAGTATGGAATGATAGAAAGAAAAAAATGGACCAAAGGCTAAAAATATTGTAGGGGTATTAGTTGTTTCTATTCCACAGAGTATTGTAATGTAGAACATATATACAGGCAAAACAATTCTATATATGCAAACAGGGGTTTGGGATTTTTTTTAAAGATAAGAACTCAGATAATCAAAAGGGCTAGTAGGAACAGTACGATGTTTAGAAGCAGGGTAACCCGCAGATGTTCCCTGTAGGTCATGGAGCTTCTGAGAGCACACGAGCACAGAGACATATGCATTCACACACATACCCATGCACAAACATATAAATTGTCGCAAAGACTGTGCAAGAGGTTTAGTTGTGCATTACTCCTCTGTTTTCTTTTTATTATACATTTAAAATACTGTATTGTCACTTTATAAAGCATACATTAAACATTAAACCATACATGAACCAGTAAGCCACTCCATCAGTATTTTGTATATTCTGCATAAACTCTTTATACCTTCAATATGTTTTGTGCAGTGTTTATGCAAACCTTTACAGTTAAGCTTTTGTATTTCAATATTATTAAAAAATATACTATATTTCTCTGAATAGCTTCTGCTACGATATACTTATGAAGTAAATGGGCATGTTTCTGTTCATTTTTCAGTCATTAGATCTTGTTTTCTTTTGTCCATTGTTATACTGTGCTGTACCACATTTATTTCAGTATTCATTTTGTAAAAACAAAACAAAACAAAAGGCTATTTTGTTTGTATTTGACAAGCTCTGTGAATAAATTCTCTCTTTGATCAATAAATGAGTCTTAAGTTACCTGATTTGCTTCTTTGATTTCATAAATATAGCCTTTCAACTCCAAAAAACCTGTAAATTTTTTTTCTTTTAAGATTAATTCACATGATAATAATCGAACCAGGTATTGTTCTAGGCGTACAACTTCCATTCTTTGCAACCAGAATTCTAACTTCCTGTTCATTGCACTTCGATCATGACCAGATATTTATGAGAGAAGAATTTCATGTTTACTTTGGATTAACTTTCAGATGGGCTATATTCAGAAGTGGTTTAGAACAGTGATAGCCAGGTCAGGGATCCGGAGGTGTCAGGGCCAACAGTCTCCTAGATGATGACAGAATCATCACAAGCTGCTTGTGACTTACTGCTCCTTCACTTTTTACATGTGCTGTATTTCTTCAATACTTCTGTGCCAGGGGCAATTTCACACCTCTCTTTCAGGAATCCCGGTCATTTGAGAAATATTATCTCACACTCCTGATCCCAGCATAAAGCCTTGACTAAAGAGAAAGATTTAGATCCTTTTATGATTCCCTAACAGAATCAAGTCTTTCAGGAGCCAAGATTACATACTGGATAATGGATAGATGGTTTTATTAGGCAATGTTAAGTTATTGCATCAAATCCTTAAAATTTCAGTTACAGTTAGTTTCTAAATTATATACTTTCCTCCTGGCTGATGTAGCTCAATGTATTGAGTGATGTCCCATGGACTCAGGACTGAGAGGTCCTGCTTCAATTCCTGATAAGGGCACATGCTTACATTGCAGTCTTGATCCCAGTGGGGGTCATGCAGGAGGCAGCCGATTGATGTTTCTCTGTCACATCAATGTTCTCTCTCTCTCTCCCTTCCTCTCTATCTAAGAAATAATATATATATATATATATTAAATTAATTAATTAATTAATTAAAAAAAAATACTTTCCATGTGTGGAAACTGAGTATTCTGGCTATTAATACATATAAATATGTTTTCTTCTTATAAAATTATCAATTTAACTTGATTATCTGTATATTATGCTTGCTTCTGGTACTTTTAATCATCCAGGTTGAAGATTCATGCTGCCCTAAAAGAACAATCCAAGAATCTAGATAATAAAATATTGGGCTTTCTGAGGCTTTGCTGTTATGGTAAAAGTCACTCTCTTCTCAAGTGTTTAATTTATAATGTGCTAATGTCATTTGATTGTGTCTTGTTCACTGAGCAGTGGATTCTCCATTCTTTGGTTTCCTGCAGAGAGGAGAAGATGGCACTTTGGGCCTCAGTTAGGTCATCATTTTCATGTATTGCTGGTGCTCAATTTTTTTTTTTTTTTTTTTTATCCTCACTAGAGGACATCTTTCCATTTTTTGTTCAGATAGAGTGAGGGAGAGAGAGAGAGAGAGAAACATCAACGTGAAAGAGACACATCGAGCGGTTGCCACCCACACGACCCAACCAGGGCCAGGGACAAACTGCAACTGAGGTATGTACCCTTAGCGGGAACCAAACTCGGGTCTCTCTGGACCGTAGGCCGACACTCTAACCACTGAGCCAAACCATTTTTACTGTTAGAATAGTATTATGCCTTCTTAGTTTCCATTATCAAATTGGAATTCTTTGTTGAAATTCATTAAGGTCTAATTTCTTGAACGTATTTAATAACAACCTTGTCATTTTTATGTAGCTTTTTATCATTTTAGACGTTAGTAAACCTCACTAGATTAAAAGTTTGATCACTCTGACATGATGAAGTTAAATGATTAACCCTTTTATCTCAAATTTTGACTACTCATGTATTTTTTTTTATTTTAGAACTAGCAAAAGATGTTTATTCAGAGCTTTTTAGCAAGAGTTTCATCATCTTCATTGTGTTTGGCAGAGACACAAAGGCAGGCAGAGAGTGGTAAATACAGGGTGTCCCAAGAAAATGCAAATATATTTTGAATAATTACAAAGCCAGTGTTTATGAAAACACATTTCATTTTCAAAATGTAATAGAATCTATAGACACCTGTATACATTTTTGGGGGACACCTTGTATTTATAGTGGAGTAAACGAGAATGCTTCAGATATGCCCTAATAGGAGTTTGCTGACAGGGAAGCTGTAAGCAGGCTAACTAGAAGGAGTGTGTCCTATGCGATTGACTAGGAAAGGATGTATGGCTTTCTCTTGTTAGTTCTAAATCTGAAGTGCAGACAAAAACTAAAAAAAATAAAAAAGACAAATATTAACCAAATTGTGATTGATTTGGGCCAGCTGCTATAAGGTTATTGTTTGGTTGCCTGGGTTGGTTACTAGAGACAATAGTTTTCCTGAACTGGTTGCTGCAGGCTATGGCTGAATTTCATGTTTATATATATAATCTAGCTCTTATCAATTTTTATATTAATTTCTCACCTCTAGCACCATTTGATTAAGTGGGTTATAGCATGAGTTTGCAACAAGACTGTGAATACATACCTCTGTGTACTTACCACATAATAGTTGAACAGTTCTTAATCCACATTATTAATGGGTAATTAAAAGAACACTTTTTGGAAAAAAGATAGCAGTGGGAAGGACCGGAGCTAGGGTGAGTGTGTGAGAGTGTGAAAAAGAGTGTGAGTGAATGTGAGTGTGGACAACCAACCTTGAGCAGTGCAGAGACATGGGGGCAGAAGGTTCCTATGCTGTGGATGGAAAGCATCTAGCTACTGTAGTAAGTGGCACATCAGCAAACTTTCCCCTGGGTGGCTGGGAAGCCCTGCCATTTTGGAAGATCCCATGTCTTCCCTGGGAAAGGGAAACAAGGAGAAGCTAGGGTCAAGTGACCTGAGTCAACCAGAGTGCCTTGCACGATCGGTCCAGTGGACTCATCTGTGTCAACACGGTCAGTGCACAGGAGCAGCGCTATCAAGGTGCCTGCTGCAGCAACCGTGGGGAGCCAGAGCCCCACCCCCAACAGCAGTGGCATCTCACCCAGGCTCATGGCGACACTAGCACCAGCTTGGGAGCCCAGCACCTCCTCCCACAGCTACAGTGACTGGGAGAGAGTAGAGCCCCACCACCAACAGGCATTAGCAGCTCAGATTGGCAGCTGAGACCCATCCCCAGTGACATCAGCAAAGGCTGATCAGGAGCAGTGCCCCAGCCCAAGCAAGAAGGCTATGGCAGCTGAGACCTGTCCCTGACAACTGCAGCAGTGAAGTTGGAGTGTAGCCCCTCCCCCCAGCAGCAGCAAAGTCCCAGGTGCGGAGCATCCTCAGCCCCCAATAGCAGCAAAGGATTGGGACCTGAGAGATGCTGGCAACAGCAACAGCAGTAGCAGTGCAAACCAGGAGGTGACACTCACCCCCAGCAGCAACTTACCAGGAGCTGAGCCCCACCAGGCAGCAGGATACCCCAACAGAACACCAGCGGGACCCATGTACCCCAGAAGAATACCAGAGGGACCCATGAACCCCAACAGTATACCAGAGGAACCCACAAATCCCAGTAGATTACCAACAGGACCCACTGACCCCAGAAGCCCACTAGCTGGACCCACGCACCCAAGCAGTGTACCACAGGGACCCACGAACCCCAGAAGTGTGCCAGTGGAACCCACACATCCCAAAAGTGTACTAGTGGAACCCCACACACTGCAACAAATTACCAACAGGACCCACACACCCCAGAAGTGCACCAGATGGACCAACATACACCAGGCAGCAGCAGCACAGATCAGCAGCTGAGACCCATTCCCAGGAGCATCAGCAGAAGCTGATCAGGAGTGGTGCTCCAGCCTAAGCAGCAGCAAGTCTCAGGGAGCCAAGATCTGCATGGCAGACCAATACAAGCCACCAGCTGTCAACTTTCCAGGACCCACAGCAGGCAAGAGGTGCCATACACCAAAACAGTATGGGAGGCACAGCAGCCATAGTTGATACACACTAACCTGCCTACACACTGCAACATCCATCACTAAGCTTAGAACTACGAGATTGCTAAAATGGTGAGACAAAGAATTAATACTCAAACGAAAAAAAGAGAGGAATCACAAGAAAAGGATCTACAGGAACTAGAGAAAGCAACTTGTCAGATAAATAATTCAAAGCAATGATTATAACTGTGCTCAAACAATTTGGTGAGAACTACAGGCAACTTAATAAGAATAATGAAGACCTCACTGGGAATTACTTCAGCTTAAAAAAAGAAGTAGAACTATGCATAAATATCAAGAGGAAATAAAGAATAACATACTGATTATGAAAAATATCTTAGAAAAGTTCAATAGTAGATTAGAAAAAGGTGAAGACAGAATCAGTGACATAGAAGACAAGGTAGAGAAAAACACCCAAATAGAGCAGAAAATGGGAAAAAGAACTAAAAAGCAGGAGAAGAGTTTAAGGGAGCTGTGAGACAACACAAAATGTAACAACTTCGCACTGTAGGTGTAGCGGAAAGAAAAGAATCAGGGAAAGGAATAGAGAACCTGTTTGAAGAAATAATGACAGAAAAGTTTCTTAAACTGGTGAAGAAAAAAGTCACTCAAGTCCAGAAAACACAGGGAGTGCCAAGCAAGATGAACCCCAAAAGACCCACAGTTAGACATATAATAAAAATGGCAAACATTAAAGACAAAGAAAAACTCTTAAAGGAAGCAAGAGAAGACAGAAAGTTACCTACAAGGGAGCTCCCATTACCTGACGGATGATTTCTAAATAGAAACAGTGCAGGCCAGAAGGGAGTGGCATGAAGTGTACAAAGTAATGCAAGGCAAAGGTCTGAATCCGAGACTACTCTATCCAGCAAGGCTGTCATTCAAAATTGAAGGAGAAATAAAGAGCTTCACAGATTTAAAAAAAAAAAAAAAAGCCAAAGGAATTTACCAGCACCAAACCAGCACTGCGAAAAATGCTAAAGGGACCCTTGTAAGAAGAAGAAGAAACAGAGAGAGAAAGAGGAACACAGGCATAAAATTAAAATGGCAACTAAT